ATGTGGCCTGGGGGATCTTCTTGAACAGCTTCTGGTTGTTTTCCTTCCCTTTCTTCTATTCGTTGCTGCAACAAAATGCCTTTGTTCGTCTTCCCTTTTCTCTGTAAACATACTACAAGGGAGGAATGCATGAATTAAGAGAGTCTGGTGGTAGTGTCTCTGCATACCTTGCCATCACTAATTATCATGGATGATACGATTCATTTACCTGTGAAATAACTTGATCTGGCTTAGTTTTCCAGGTGTCGTGCTGAGTTGGTTGCTGACACACTATTGTTTCTTCCTTGGGCTTCTGATGCCTGTCTGGTGTTGTATGGTCAGTGTCTTCACTTTACCAATCAATATAGGCTAAACCAAATGTTTGCCCATGATCTGATGGTATTGAATTCCACCAGCCCAGGTTGGGCCCAGAATGATAACATTTAAATGTTGTTACACAGCTGAATTATTAAAATAAGACTAGAAAGATAGGAACCAAACGGAGATGTTTATGTTTTAAGAAAATAGTATGTTGGTTAAAAAAAAATTACCTCTTTCTTTGGCTCTTGTTTTTGGAAAGAAATGTCCAGAATGGCACCTGTCAGCTCTGATCTAAGTTCCTATAATACAGTCCTCAACTGACACAAAGCCTGGCAAAGGAAGAAATAAATAAAACAGTCCCATAGATGCCTATGTCTGTGGCCAAAGAAGCCCACATATAGAAACACAACCTTGGAAAATAATTAGAAATGTGGGTCTCAAGATATATGGGAAAGAATCAACAGATAAGGAAAGGAAATTCATGTGCAGTGACATTTGTCCCAAAGCTAATTATGACAGTAAGAATTTGAAGACAATTTAAATGTCCAACATAGCAATAAATAATGTTTTTGAGGCTTTCATTCATGTCAAACAAGGTACTAGGTACTTCATGTAAACTATCTCATTGTGGTGGTTTGAATGAGAATGGCCCCCGCAGACGCCTATGTTTGAATGCTTGGTCTTCAGTTAGTGGAGCTATTTGTGGAAAATTAGGAGGTGTTCCTTATTGGAAGAGATGAGTCCAGATCTGACCCGATCTCTCTCTCTCTCTCTCTCTCTCTCTCTCTCTCTCTCTCTCTCTCCAACTTGCTCTGAACTATTATTCCAGCCACCACTGTTCCTTCCACTCCATGACGATGATGGACTCACTCTCTGAAACTGTAAGCAAGTCTCCAATTAAATAGCTTCTTTTATAAGATCCCTTGATCATGGTGTCTCTTCCCAGCAACACAACAGTAACTAAGATGGACATTAGAATCCCTGAGTTAAGCATGGCTGTCTTCCAGTTTTGCTGTGAAGAACACAAGTCATGGAAGGAACTAATAATTTGTTTAGGGTTATATAATTCCAATTGGTGGAGCTAGGACCTGAGCTATTTTATGTGAGCCAACAGTTTATGTTCAAAACAGCTTCTCAACAGGAGTGTTATTGAATGGGTACTCATTGCATGGGTGTGATGAGTATTAAGCAACTATGTGTTTTGAGAAATTCTTAATGAGAAGTGTTCATTATGTAACACTGAATGCAAACGACACGCTGTGATATTGCTAAGGCATGTGATCTCCAAGAGGGTATTGATGTGGAAACAAAGCAAATATTTCAAATGACTGCTTCTAGGTTGTGACACAATCTGAAATTCTGTGCACTGTCCATAATCTTCTGTACTTTCCAAGCCTCTCCTAATTAGCGTGTGTTGATAGAGTGATCAAGAAAAATATCTGGAGAAAATAATCATAGGCTGAAGCTTTAAAGAATCAGTGCTCAGTGCTTTCACCCAATAATACACAGTGTGGTGGGATTGAGAACTCAGTGAGACCAGGCAGGGATGACACACTGACTTGTCCCCAGAGAAGCAATGCTACCCATTAGGGGGCCAGACTGCTGGCAGGTCCCCGCTCTGAACTGCCCTGTTGTAAAAGTGAGACTATTAATTCATGAGCCTAGTGACCAGGACAAAGTTCATGCAAAAACTAGGTGAGAAGTTCCACTCTTAACTGTCATGAAGATGACATTGGTTGGTTACCATTCCTAAGTCTTCATTCAGTAAATGGCATGCTTAGTTATGATGAAGTTAAACATGATTGCAAGGCTCAGCAGAGAGCATATGAGGTCTTCTGTGTCGTCTGAAACACACTGGAAGATACCGAGTGGTTGCCTCACAGTGACAACATGGTTGCCCGGAGGTGGCCACACAGGGAAGAGCTAAGGAGATCATTTGGCACCAATTCAAAGAAACAAACAGAATACATTATTTCCAAAACCAGTCCTTTGGAGCAGATTTGGTTAATTTAGCCTGGTATTTGTTGGGCTAAAGAGTATATTTATGCTCTACTTTTTGTCCAAGAACGGGGAGCTATTTTTACTATAAAAAAACGCCAACTCTTTCCAGGCACATTGTCTTCTCTTATGATCATTCTTACTTTCCATGATTGTATGTGCAAACTACATCAAAAAAATTTCCAAACTAGAAATTATTTGGGTTTCTGAATGTCCTGAAATATATCCTGTGAAGATATAATAGTCATACAATGTAACACCCTACTGCAGGACAGAATTGTCCCATTGTGAACAAAACACTGCATTTAATAAAGCAATAACAGAGATAGCATGAGGTTTCTCCAGCATGGAAATTAACGGCCTGATGGTTAAAGCTGACAGACATAACAATGTTTTACAGCTGTGAAGGAGTCTACGTGTGTTTCATTCTATCTGTGGGTGCTTTCATATGTTAAAATACTTAAAAATACTACAAGAGACTGAGAGCTGGTGGATTAAGAGGGCAGAATTGGGTTGTTTTTATCTCACACTTCTATTTCCTGTTAAAATATCTTCACCATAACTTTTGCTTTTACAATGAAAAAAATTTAAGTGTGATTTATAAAGAAATTAACTAGCCACTTGGTGGCAGTATAACATGGAAAAATGTATGGTTTCATTTCATGCCATGCTAAAAAATATTTTGTCACAGATTTGATTTCTTCCCTGATAGTTCTGTTTATAAGTTATTTTATTTCAGATATCTAATCCTTTATGAAATTACCATCTCATAATTAAAAACCTCTTTTAAATTACTAGCTTAATTTCAATGAGCACACCTTGTTCATTTGAAACTATAATAACAGATTCTAAAGGAAAATTGTATTTATTCATTAAGGCTAATAATATGAAGTACAGTTAGTCTTGTATGATATAAGTTAATAATCCAATGAAGTTTTCATTGCCAAATAATCAACTTGGTTTATACAGCAAAATTATAGTATCTTGTATTAAAAATATAACAGCTCAATTTACTATTTTTAAATGAAAATGCTAGTTTTCAAATAATAAAAGTAAAAATAAAAATATGGGCAACACATGCTGTAAACCTCTGCCTTTGCCAAATGGAAAATTATGCTGCATTTTAATATTATATTTCTGCTCTTAAAATTCCCAAAGCATGTAGCTGCAAGTCCTTCTTGACTTGTGAGAATGATCACTGCTCTGTGAGCCATTCATCTAGATGAGTAAACCTGGCAGTTGGCCATGACTACTTAACCTTCATGACTCAGGACTTCAGTAGAATTATTTTCCAGGGAGCAGAAGAAACTTGGTAAAACATTGTGAAGCTCAAAACAATTTCTGATTGCCACAATTCACAGGGAAAACTTTCCTCTTGCTGTGGAAAGAGTCAAGACATATGACAGACCTTACAGTTTCCTGATGTTCTGCTAAAATCCCCAGCCCATAGTTTACAGAAACTTGCCCTTAAGTTACCTGCATACAATTAGCTCTTTCAAAAAAAAATTCTAAAGGCCTATAGGAATCTTTTCTTTGAATACGTGTTGTGCATTTCTTAACAAGTGTTCCAGAGACCACACTTTATCACATAAGCCTTTGGTGGCTTGGCAACAGGAACATCTCAAGTTGTGCAAACACACTTTTTCAAAAGGTGAATTTGAGTAGTGACCCTGGAATGGCTGGATACATAGGGTGTGTGGGATGCTGAACTTAGAACCTGTTTCAGAATCAGAACCTTCTTCAGTGCTGTCTTCTGCTCTTGAGGGCTGTGCCCTTGAAGTCACCTCTGACAGCTCTCATTTATTAGGAAGCAGGAGAAGGGCAAGCTTGCTCTGGAACTCTTTTGAATTCAGACCTAAAGTAAATTAACTGCCAAGACTTCTTACCTCACCCAGTTCCCAAGCTTTCATTAGTGGGGCCCTGAAAGTCTGATGGCTAGACAGGGCTGGCCAAGATCCTCAAGAGCAGGAAAGCATCGAGAGGAGTCATTAGTGACATCTCACCTCTGTGTTACAACCTCAAAGTGTCTGCTCATAAAAGCTCACCTTAGTGCAGCCAAAGCCAGAGTCTGTACCAAGGCAGAGGTGACCCAGCTTGGATGGCCAAGGCAATGTGAATGTCATAGCATCGTCACCAATTGGAAGAAACCAAGTAGGAACAAGTTATTGTGCATTTTTGTGGCTGGGTGGAATTTTTATCTTGGTATTGTCTTGGTGTTTGTTGCCTAGAAACCAAGTGAAATTGCTAAACATGTTGGTATTTTAAAACCTGGTGTTGTTTTTTGGGTGTTTGTTTGTTTGTTTGTTTGTTTGTTTGTTTTGGTTTTGGTTTTGGGTTTTGGGTTTTCAAGACAAGGTTTCTCTGTGTAGCTTTTGGAGCCTGTCCTGGATCTCGTTCTGTAGACCAAGCTGGCCTCGAACTCACAGAGATCCACCTGCCTCTGCCTCTGCCTCCCAAGTGCTAGGATTAAAGGCTCAGCCTGGTGTAGTTTGAACTCTCCGTTCAGAAGTTCCTCCTTCAAGATGTAGTCACTGAAAAGAAAATAAAAGACACACATTTGAGGACCTTGCTTTATCCCACCCTCTGAACATATTAAAACTACTACTTTAATCACCTCCATACAAGAGAAACATGTCTCAGGAACATGGGCCACCAGGATGCTAAGACCTAAAATGTTGATACTCTTTCTTTCTTGTTTTAAGTTCCTCGGGTCACATCAAAATCATCCCACGAATCTCAGAAGATTGAGATGCTCACTGCTGCAGTCTTTAAAGGACATCTTACTTCTGGTAAAGAAAAAAATGCACATGTTTGTATGTATGTGTGTATGTATGTACATGGAATTAAGGCCTCCTCAGCAGGTAACTTCCACACCAAAAATGACATATCAGCATTTCTGGGAAATACTTGACTAGGTTCAAAATGTGCTTACACTGAATGTAAGCAGTAGTTCAGGGGCACCTGTCTGCTGTGGTCGTGAGGAGGTTACATTGTTGTTTCAGCAGGCTATGGGTCTCAAGTCCCAAAAACGTCTTTTTAAAAACGTGTCACCTGCCCACCATGTGCTAGGGCTGTACATACATCATCTGTCAATCTGAAGAGCAACCTGTTGAGATAAATGCCGTGGACCCACTCTATAAAAGAGAAAACTCAACTTCAGGGAGGCTGAAGAATGCTCAAACGTACAAAACTGTTAGAAATTCAAGCCTTACTTTTTGCTTTCATTTATTTATTTGTTTGTTTGTTGTTTTGTTTTGCTTCTCAAGACAGGGTCTCACTCTGTAGCCCAGTTCCAGGATGTCCTGAAATTCACAGCCTGCCTCCTGCCTCAGCTTCCTAAATGTTGGGATTACCAGCATGAAACATCACACTCAGCCCTATCCTTTTAAATACACAAGTCTGTGTTCTTCCTCTTAAATGAACCAGATCCCATTTAATTTGTTAACATGGACTTGATGTGTTTTTATTGACGGCCACACATAAATGTTTCAGGCATGTAAAAATATTAGATAAGATTGTACAATGAGCAAATATAACTCTAAATTGAAGTTTGACATTGAAAAACTTGAGGCCTGACTGTTTGACTAGTAGACTATTTACTTCCTGGCACAAAAATCTAACAGGACTAGAGTAAGGAATTTTGCAGGTTGTATTGGAATTTTTGCACTGTTGTTAATTTATTCAACAAATATGTGTTAAATAACTATGTACTGGGTACTGTTCTGGGAGATGGGAAATTGACAATGAAAAAAAAAAGTGGACAAAGCTGGACCTGGTGGTATAAGCCTATAATCCTAGCAATGAGGAGGTAGAAGCAGGAAGATCAACAGTTCAATACGTCAGCTACATAGCAAGTTAGAAGTCAATATGGGCTACATGAGATCTTGTCAAAGAGTGAAGGAGGCAGGGGAAGGAGAAAAGGAGGGAAAGAGGAGGAGGGAGGGAATGAGGGAGGG